TGTGACACAGAGTAATGTGACGCAGCAACTGTTCCCTGATTTTTATGTCCTTTAGATTAATGTATTATTCTCTTTGGTGAGGAAAATATTAAACATCTTGAACTGTACATGAAATTTTTTTAGAGACAAGAAATATGTTTGTATTGATAGAGAACATTGACTGGTGCTTGATGAGTTTTGTTGCATTGTGTAAGGAGTGAGTGATGAAGAGAAATAGTTCACAGAAATTCAACCTGTCGTCATTGAGGAAGAGTTCTATCAGTTAAAGGGAGACAACTTCTGTAACAATTCTGTAAACAGATTTATTTTGACAGTTATTCAGAACCAAAGGTGAAATAATTTTAGAAGCTGGGAACATTTGTGTCAGACATGTTTCCACTTAGGGTCGAAAGAAGAAAGAGAAATGCAAAGTCTGACATATGATTAATATGTCAATAAACAATTTATTGTAAAATAATATTTTGTAACAAATATTTCAGAACCAAAGCTGAACCTTTTAAGATCAAATACTCACCCAAGACCAGACAGAAGATGCGGGCAGCGAGGAGAAAAAGCTTTGGGTAAGTCGTGGAGACAATGAGAAGCAAGAATATACATATGTAGGGAGTACATTGTAGAAACAGTCAGTGAAACAATTGGTAGTGTGGTCCACAGTCAACTCTCCACAAAGTGCAATGTTTTTTGTCAGAAGATAATAAAGTGTCAGAAATGTGTCCTTCACAGTAGTAAAACACCCTAAACCCTAGAATTCCTGAAAGCCTTTGAGATTCTCTTCCAGGGGTTAGGTTCCCCAAGGTCAAAGACTTGCATCATTGAGGTGTCCCAGAAACCTGTGATTATGGGTTTGAATCCCAAATTTGCCCTGGTTAGAAAAGGTCTTCAGCAACCATGCTTGCCGTAAAAGGCGACTATGCTTGTCGTGAGAGGCAACTAATGGGATTGGGTGGTCTGGCTTGGTTAATGCATGTAATCAAATTCCAATTGCGTAGATCAATGCTCATGATGTCAATCACAGGATTGTCTGGTCCAGACTCGATTATTTACAGACTGCCAAGATACAGCTGGAATATTGCTGAGTACAGCATTAAACAACAAACAAACAAACAAACCCACAGCAAGTTGACAAGCTCTGACATCCAGGGTCACATTAAACCAAACTCACTCACTCCGTAATCCTAGTATCAGCCTGTGAATAGTTGTATGGTTCAGTTAAGTGTCCATGACCAGAAGTCTCCTGATAGACAGCATGGGATATTCTCCTGAGTTCCATGTTGTGATCATGTGTTGACAGGGAGTCTGACCGAAACTCCCAGGCCGGGCTATCAGACAAGGGCAGTGTAACGCAGTACCATTTGTCTGGCCGAGAGAATACACAAAACAGACATAGTGGTTACTATGACAACTACTCAAATTCTGAAAACAACAGGTAAGCATTCATCCGGACGGTACTCATACCTGTAGACAGCATCAAGGATTATTGTGACAGACAAACAGAAACACCATGCTATTTTCTATGAAATATGTCAATTGTTCTTATGTAGATGTCATGGCAGTCTTAACATGAGATGTGAAGTAAATATGTGTATCCTAAACTGTATGTTCCCAGTGGAGGGTATAATTCTGTGTCTATTCCCCAGTTGAGGGTATAATTCTGCGTCGATTCCCCAGTTGAGGGTATTAATCTGTGTCTTTTCCCCGGTGGATGGTATAATTCTGTGTATATTCCCCAGTGGAGGGTATAATTGTGTGTATATTCTCCAGTTGAGGGTATAATTCTGTGTCTATTCCCCAGTTTAGTGTATAATTCTGTGTCATTCCCTAGTGGAGGGTATAATTCTGTGTCTACTCCTCAGTGGATGGTATAATTCTGTGTCTATTCCCCAGTTTAGGGTATAATTTTGTGTCTATTCCCCAGTGGAGGGTATAATCCTGTGTATATTCCCCGGTGGAGGGTATAATTCTGTGTCTATTCCCCAGTGGAGGGTATAATCCTGTGTATATTCCCCAGTGGAGGGTATAATTCTGTGTATATTCCCCAGTGGAGGGTATAATTTTGTGTCTATTCCCCAGTGGAGGGTATAATTCTGTGTATATTCCCCGGTGGAGGGTATAATTCTGTGTCTATTCCCCAGTGGAGGGTATAGTACTGTGTATATTCCCCAGTGGAGGGTATAGTACTGTGTATATTCCCCAGTGGAGGGTATAGTACTGTGTATATTCCCCAGTGGAGGGTATAGTACTGTGTATATTCCCCAGTGGAGGGTATAGTACTGTGTATATTCCCCAGTGGAGGGTATAGTACTGTGTATATTCCCCGGTGGAGGGTATAGTACTGTGTATATTCCCCAGTGGAGGGTATAGTACTGTGTCTATTCCCCAGTTCTCGGCAGCGGGACAGCTACGGCCAGGTGCAATCTTCCCCAGTGGTTCACATGCAGGACATGCAGATGGCGCCGGTCGTCAGGACCCGGGTAAGATCATGTTGGAGATTTTTGTGTGAAAAGAAAGTGATTCTTTTTTTTCTGTTTGTTTTGTAATTGCAAAAACTCCTCTTTTCATGTCCTCACAGTATGGAGATGATGCATTATGTAGACAATGGCCGTGTAGCTTTGTGACAGAGCATGCTGACTGGCACTCCTGTGATGATCTTATTGATTGTGTACTGATGGTGTCTCGTATTGTTCAGAACTCTCACCCCGTCAACATGGACGTGAGTCAGCACAGTCAACACAGCAGTCATAGTCAACAGCCTCGCCACCACTACCACCGCGAGGAGCGCAGCAGTGTGTACCAGGTACGTACCCCACTGTGTATCATGTACCAGGTACGTACCCCACTGTGTATCATGTACCAGGTACGTACCCCACTGTGTATCATGTACCAGGTACATACCCTGACTGTGTGTCATGTACCAGGTACGTGCTCAGTGTGTGTACTGTGTTAGAGTCATGTTCCCCAAATCATTGATTCTGAATAATACTAACGGACACGTGGTTTGAGTTCACTTGATTCTGAGACTGGCAACATCTGTCTCCAGACTAGAGAGTGCCAAATGTTGTAGTTAAAGCCAGAAATAACACTTCTGAAAATACAAGTAAGTAATCTCTGGGAGGATAATTTGATGTTCGCGCTACTTGAACACGGTTTCGGTTGCCAGGACTGTTTATGCTCATGGTATTCCTGTTTGTTATGTTCCCAGGAGGTGCACGAGACCTCAAGGAGCTCGCATCACCATCACAGCCAGCGGGACGGGTCCACAGTCAGCACCTTCAACCCAGAGCAGTACAACACACAGAGGTGAGACACACACCAGGCAGGGCTCTTTGAGGGGGGAGGGGCAGGCCTCATAGTAATGGGTCGACAACCCAGAGCAGTACAACACACAGAGGTGAGACACACACCTGGCAGGGCACTTGGAGGGGGGAGGGGCAGGCCTCATAGTTAATGGGTCGACAACCCAGAGCAGTACAACACACAGAGGTGAGACACACACCAGGCAGGGCTCTTTGAGGGGGGAGGGGCAGGCCTCATAGTAATGGGTCGACAACCGCGAGCAGTACAACACACAGAGGTGAGACACACAGCTGGCAGGGCTCTTTGAGGGGGGAGGGGGAGGGAGGGGCAGGCCTCATAGTAATGGGTCGACAACCCAGAGCAGTACAACACACAGAGGTGAGACACACAGCTGGCAGGGCTCTTTGAGGGGGGGAGGGGCAGGCCTCATAGTAATGGGTCGACAACCGCGAGCAGTACAACACACAGAGGTGAGACACACACCTGGCAGGGCTCTTTGAGGGGGAGGGAGGGGCAGGCCTCATAGTAATGGGTCGACAACCGCGAGCAGTACAACACACAGAGGTGAGACACACACCTGGCAGGGCTCTTTGAGGGGGGAGGGGCAGGCCTCATAGTAATGGGTCGACAACCCAGAGCAGTACAACACACAGAGGTGAGACACACACCTGGCAGGGCTCTTGGAGGGGGGAGGGGCAGGCCTCATAGTAATGGGTCGACAACCCAGAGCAGTACAACACACACAGGTGAGACACACACCTGGCAGGGCACTTGGAGGGGCTGGGTGGGTCACGGTTGGAGAGATGGATCACTGGGAGGGGAAAAGGAGGGGGACCGGGGTTGAGGGAGTCGGGCAGGACTTTAGGGTTGGTGGAGTCTTTGTGTGGAAGGGGCAGGAACATGTGTATAATCTACATATATCACTGATGAAAATCTGAAAAATGAAAATAGAGATCGGACGTGTATCATTTGTTTCCTGTGGGGAAATACTATTTGTATCAAGTTTGGGATACATTGTACAGAAAAGTATCTGGAAACAAATATAGCAGCCATGCTAATCTGGATGAAGTGTTATTGCGTAATGTAGGGAAAAGAATGAAAAAACAACCTTTATTCTGTAGGGGGCTGCATGTTGTAAAAAAACCACCCAAAATAACTTTCCAAGAACAACTAAATAACACTTACGGATAAAATTGAATTTGTCACTGACAAGTTTCACAGATCTGTTTCCATGTCGTATTCGTGACTAGACCCTCCATTACTACAGCCTTTGGTTGTTGAGATTCCTGCTGTGAGTGGGAAGGTGATGGACGCCATGTGCTGCCACAGCTGCAGCTGTAGGCCTCGGGTGGTGATCGCACATTTTGTCACAATGTTGGTTCGATTTGTTTCTTCATTACACGGATATTTAACATGCTGTCGCTATGCTGCCCTATTGCCATTGTCGCACTGAGGGATGCGTTCATTCCACACGACCCTGTCACGGGGCATGTATTGACACTGAACGCGGCGCCATCCACATCAAGTTGCTCTACTCTGACTTCCCACAACTCAGGAATAGGTCACAGAAATCAGTTGTAAACATAATTTAATTTACGCTATTTTTAATTTGCTAGTGAAAAATGTTTTTGGATGACACTTTAAGGAAATTTGTTGATAATGGAAAGATTTTTCTGAAATTGTCTATGAATTTTAATGTTTAATTTTTTGTTTTTGAATGTTCATAATTAAGGCCAGTGTTTAAAATACCAGTACGCAATATGATAGTTCAGGCAGTTTCACATGGTTATACAGGAGACCTTCACATCATTATGCATTGTCTGACAATTTGGAGAATCTTTTATTATGAAAGCTTAAAATAAGGAATGAGGTATGAGAGGTTGCTGTGATGTATTTCTGTTCTCAATGTCTGTATAATCATATCATGTTTGCAGGAACTCAATATTTTGTTTCTCAGAAATCGTCGAGTGTTCATTGTGTTACATCATTGCTCTCATGTTTCATGTCGTGTCATCATCAGAGGTCGACCTTTAGGATACAAGTTCCATTTTCAAAATTATCCCTGATAAAAACAATAACAATAGGGTTTTCAATTCAAAATTTGTTGAGCAAAACTATAATTTTTGTAAATAAAGACTTGGGTGTGATGTTCTAGATCTGATCCTTACAAAGAGCAGCTTCAAAGATGGCAGAAAACTTTAATTCCCCCCAAGGATAACAGGTACTCCGTTTGCAGACAGTTAACCCGTCTAATACTGTACCCTCTTCTTTCCACTGATTGCCTCTGCATGCTCTTTCCCTGTATCATCAAGTAGTCATAGATGAGAAGGATGGGGACCTCATTCAGTTCAGTCGTGGGGACCCGTGAAGATCTGGGTTAGAATAGGCCTTCAGCAACACATGCTTGCCATAAAAGGCAATTATGCTTGCCATAAAAGGCGACTAATGGGATTGGGTGGTCAGACTTGCTGACTTGGTTGATGCATGCCCTCATACCCCAGTTGTATAGATCGATGCTCATGATATCAATCACTGGATTGTCTGGTCCATACTCGAATATTTACAGACCGCCATCATATAGCTGCAATATTGCTGAGTGCGGTGTTAAACAAACAAACAAACATTCAAACAAGAAGGTGTGGGGGAATCTACAATTATCAGATATGTTTTTATTGTTTGTGTGGTTTTCATAGAAAATTTTGTTTGCAGTTGTGATAACACTAACAATATCCTGAACTGAATTGTGTAATGACATTGGAATGTATCCTCCGAGATCATCATCATTAACACATATCCGTTTCATTTCATTTTTATTTCACTTTGACAACTTTGGGGAAATGTAAACTGTAAAGCAAATCTTACTTTCTGATTTTCCTTTTCCGCTTTCCTGAAAGATTGGTGTTGTGTTTGCTTGAAGCAAGAATCCCAAAATACTACACATTTGTATGCATGAATGATAAACTTGTAGGAGATTGATATGTATGGATCCGATCCATGACAGTAAGGCTGAATTGTACATTCGCATGTCAGAGAGGTAAATACGTGTCTCCCTGTGGGGGTTCCAGGCTAGAATTGATCCCCAACAGCCTTGGCTTGTCGTAAGAATTGACCAAATGGGTCAGGTTGTCAGACTCTGCGATTTCATTGACTGTGTCATCGTACCCCAACAGCGGGGATCGTTGATCACAATATCAATCACTGGATTGTCTGGTCCAGACTGGATTGGTTACAAGCTGGTGCTATATAACCAAATTTTGCTGCGTGTAGCGTAAAACAACAAAGAAAAACTATTTTAAATAAGTATTCATCTCAAATTGATCAGTGTATTGATTCTGGCTTTGTTTAATGTCTAACGTTCTAATGACATATTGACATTCTGCTGCACTAATGATAATTCACGGTATTTTGCATGTGTGGAAGTTCCTCATTAGCACCTAATGTCTCGCCACAAAATACGGGGTAAATGTCCGATGTGTGGTGGAATGTTGAAAGTTGCTGTGAATTGTTGAGTTATCTCCCTTTGATCATTGACGATGTTCTGTAATGTTTGCTGCAGAATGTGGAACAAATATCATAATTACAAACGGTAAGTATGCTGTGAGGGTAGCAAGGAATGTCGCCGGTGTAGTCCTGTGCCTTACATTCACTGCTCCCAGTCCCCCTTCACCCCCTCGCTTACAGCCAACTGTCTGTTGGAAAATGCTCATTTTAGTTGCAGTGTGCATTGTTTTCTGGGAACTGATTTGCAGATATTTTGTTTATTTGCCTAACTTATGTCATATTTTGTGTGCTTTATGTTTGAAATGCACATTTTGTATTTTGAGCCGTAATTCCAAGATCAGCTTAATGGCCAGCATGGATGTAGGAGGTTTGCATGGTGACGAGAGTGGATAGAGCTGTTCTGTGGGGGATTATGTTGTTGATTTGTCCCAGAAGTGGTATGGTGTTTTAGATAATATGTGAACAATTGAATAACACATTCTATACCAGTAAAATATAAGTGCGTACTAATAATACATACATATACAGTGTATACAAATTATATATAAACACACATTGTATACAAGTAATATTTACACACTCACAGTGTAAACAAATAATGTATACATACATAGTGTATACAAGTAATATTTACACACTCAGTGTATACAGGTAATAATGTATACACACAGTGTAAACAAATAATGTATACATACATAGTGTATACAAGTAATATTTACACACACAGTGTATATAGGTAATAATATTTTCACACAGTGTAAACAAATAATGTATACATACATAGTGTATACAAGTAATATTTACACACACAGTGTATACGGGTAATAATATATACACTCAAAGTGTAAACATAATGCATACATTCACAGTGTATACAAGTAATATTTACATACATAGTGTATATAATATATGATAACATACAGTGTAATTGTTACAGTCAATGTGTAAAAGGACTGAAATTTTCATTTAGGCAATTTACAAAATTCCCTAATATTTAAGTTATTTTAATCATATTTTCCCACTTGCAACACTATACACTGTAACACAAGTCATTGTATATTTTTAAAAATATTTTGGCTTCTCATCCTTGCAAGGCTTAGTCTATTCAAAAGACTCTATTGTGATATGTTTAAGCCCTTTTGAACTTTGTAATACCTTTCAGTCAATCGGATGGAAAAATAATTGTAAAATGACTGAAACATTTTGACGTTTTGTAAATTGCTTAAGTAAAAGTTTCAGTCCTTTTACACATTGACTGTAACAGATACACAATATATACACACCAATTTACAAATAACTCACACTATACAGATAACGTAGCATTGTATGTAGGTAATATGTACAGAGAAACTACAATACTATCTTACAGATAATAAGTGCACATAGCTGAACAGATGATGACTACACACAGTGTCCTAGATTGGACGTACACAGTTTTACGAATAGTGTATGTTTTTGCACATAATGTACATGGCTTTTGCCACTGTATCTAAAGAAGGTAGGATGCTAGAGAAACAGATGACTTGGTTCGTATGATTCGCTTCCTAGACAGATAGAGCAAGTCTTGGGTTGGATTGTTTCTCCGTTACGCCTGTGCCATGGTTCCTGTGCAATGTGTGCATGAAACTCCCCAGCCAGATGTCTTTGTGTGCACAGCTCTGGATTCACACAACTCGCAAACAGCCCACATTCATTTTGCTTGTCAAGTTCTTGCTTGATTTGAGTTTTTTGACGTTGTGGTTATGGCATATCATTTGTTTCTTTCAATGAGTGTTTAACCTATGTACAAAATGCAGTGAGACAGTTACAGTATTGTAGGTACCTCTGTAGCAGGTAAGGTAGCATACCTGTGAATGGCTACACACAACAAGAGTACAGTGACTAACACTGTAAATAGTTCCCTTTCATTGGCTTTTTGTAACGACACTGTACTTGTGACTATCATTGGGTGACAGCGTTTCACATAGTGTAGTTCATGTGATAGAAATGCAGAACCTTCGGGCGCCTTACAGGCAGCTTAGGCTGTATGTTCCCCAGGGAGCTGAGAAAGAAAACTAAATGAATACTGAACTGTTGACCAGGGTGTGCTGTACAAAGCAACCTTAGCTCTACGACTGTCGTAAGTCTGTGTTAAGGTAAGGGAGTTAAGATCACCTTAGCGCTAAGATAGCTTTGTATAACGGCACCCAGGGTAGTAATTTTACCTACTGTGTGCAGTGGAACTGTGGAATAGTGCTGAGCCCATGTACTTCTATTTCTTCTTGGGGGCACAGGTAGCCGCTGCAATTCGCTGTGCAGAGTTGCGTCCCTTGCCAGGCATGCCAGAAACCTATGATTGTGGGTTCGAATCCCGGTTCGCCCCGATTATGTTTCTAGGTTTGTCAGCACCATACCTAGGCTTGTGGGTTTCACCAAAGTGGTAAACGTCTGAGATTTGCATCACTTGGGGCTTTCCCCCCACATTAAGCTGACACGCCGTGATATAACTGGAATACTGTTAAACCCAACTCACTCACTCTTCTTCTTCTTCTTGACTATTTAATATTTATTGTGTCAAGTAGCACTGAGAGAGGTCTTATGTTGTCGTGTTGTAGGTCTCGGGGGGCTGTTGAGGGGGACAGATGGAGCTCTGGGGGCCGCTCCACGCACGCTCCCCAGGGCAGCGGACACCATGCCTCGCAACATAACACATCTCAGCAGACCAGACACCATCAGAATAGGTGAGCTTAAATGTAGGACACCAGTTGTTAAAGATTGGTGTTCATTTACTATGAGGGGCGGTCGGGTAGCCCGGTAGTTAAAGCGTTCGCTCATTACGCAGAAGACGCGGGTTCGATTCCCAACATGGGTACAATGTGTGAAGCCCATTTCTGGTGTCCCTTGCCTTGATATTGCTGGAATATTGCTAAAAGAGGCGTAAAACCATACTCACTCACTCACTCATTTACTATGACACCATCATGAAAAGGGGTGTTTAGCACCTTCACAAGAGGGGTTGCTGAAGTTGACACCATCATGAGGGGGCTGTGGAGGTTAGACACCCTCATGAGGGAGTTGCTGAGGTTAGACATCATCATGGAGTTGCTGAGGTTAGAAACCATCATGAGGGAGTTGCTGAGGTTAGACACCATCATGAGGGGGTTGCTGGGGTTAGACACCATCATGAGGGGGTTGCTGAGGTTAGACATCATCATGGAGTTGCTGAGGTTAGACACCATCATTAGGGGGTGCTGAAGATAGACACCATCATGAGGGAGTTGCTGAGGTTAGACACCATCATGAGGGGGTTGCTGAGGTTAGACACCATCATGAGGGGGTTGCTGAGGTTAGACACCATCATGAGGGAGTTGCTGAGGTTAGACACCATCATGGAGTTGCTGAGGTTAGACATCATCATGGAGTTGCTGAGGTTAGACACCATCATGAGGGAGTTGCTGAGGTTAGACACCATCATGAGGGGGTTGCTGGGGTTAGACACCATCATGAGGGGGTTGCTGAGGTTAGACATCATCATGAGGGGGTTGCTGAGGTTAGATACCATCATGAGGGAGTTGCTGAGGTTAGACACCATTATGAGGGGTTGCTAAGGTTAGACACCATTATGAGGGGGTTGCTGAGGTTAGACACCATCACCATCACTGACATCTAGCCTGGTGCAGCTGATTTACAACCTGTGTTTTCTGTGTTTCAGCTTCCAGTCTTCACACAACTCTGGGTACCACCATCTTCCCGAGGGCCCCACCCACACGGCCCCTCCCCTGGCACCAAACCCCTACCACCGGTCATCCTACAATGGCAGTGTCCAGGTAAGCCCTTTTCTGTCCTTGTTGAAGGTGTAGGTCATTTCCTGTGTTCATTGGTGTAGGTGCTAGTGCTGAGGTAGGTCCCCTCTCTGACTTGTTGTAGTGCGTAGATAGGTCCCCCCTCTCACATCTTGTACTGCCTAGATAGGTCCCCTCTCTGACTTGTTGTAGTGCCTAGATAGGTCTCCCCTCTCTGACTTGTTGTAGTGCCTAGATAGGTCCCCCCTCTCACATCTTGTACTGCCTAGATATGTCCCCTCTCTGACTTGTTGTAGTGCCTAGATAGGTCCACTCTCTGACTTGTTGTAGTGCCAATATAGGCCCCCTCTCTGACTTGTTGTAGTGCCAATATAGGCCCCCTCTCTGACTTGTTGTAGTGCCAATATAGGCCCCTCTCTGACTTGTTGTAGTGCCAATATAGGCCCCCTCTCTGACTTGTTGTAGTGCCAATATAGGCCCCCTCTCTGACTTGTTGTAGTGTCAATATAGGCCCCCTCTCTTACTAGTTGTACTGCCTCGATTGGTCCCTCTCTGACTTGTTGTAGTGCCTAGATAGGTCCCCTCTTTGACTTTTTTTTCATGCCTAGATAGGTCCCCTCTTTGACTTTTCATGCCTAGATAGGTCCCCTCTTTGACTTTTCATGCCTAGATAGGTCCCCTCTTTGACTTTTCATGCCTAGATAGGTCCCCTCTCTGACTTTTGGTTGTGCCTAGATAGGTCCCCTCCCGATTTGTTGTAGTGCCTCGATAGGTCCCCCCTCTCACATGTACTACTGGCAATACAGGCCCCCTCTCTGACTTGTTGTACCTAGATAGCCCCCCCCTATGACTTGTAGTGCCTCAATAGGTCCCTTCTCACTTGTTATGCCTTGATAGGTACCCCCTCTGACGTGTTGTAGTGCCTAGATAGGTCCCTCTCTGACTTGTTGTAGTGCCTAGATAGATCCCTCTCTCACTTGTTGTAGTGCCTAGATAGGTCCCCCCTCTGACTTGTTGTAGTGTGAAGATGGGTCCCTCTCTGACTTGTTGTAGTGCCTAGATAGGTCCCCCCTCTGACGTGTTGTAGTGCCTAGATAGGTCCCCCCTCTGACGTGTTGTAGTGCCTAGATAGGTCCCTCTCTGACTTGTTGTAGTGCCTAGAATGGTCCCTCTCTGACTTGTTGTAGTGCAAAGATGGGTCCCTCTCTCACTTGTTGTAGTGTCTAGATAGGTCCCTCTCTCACTTGTTGTAGTGCCGAGATAGGCCCCTCTCTCACTTGTGCCTAGATAGGCCACTCTCCTACTTGTTGTACTGCCAAGATAGGTCCCCCCTCTGACTTGTTGTAGTGCCTAGATAGATCCCTCTCTCACTTGTTGTGCTTAGATATGTCCCTCTCTGACTTGTTGTAGTGCCTAGATAGATCCATCTCTTACTTGTTGTAGTGCCTAGATAGATCCATCTCTCACTTGTTGTAGTGCCTAGATAGATCCCTCTCTGACTTGTTGTAGTGCCTAGATAGGTCAATCTCTGACTTGTTGTAGTGCCTAGATAAATCCCTCTCTGACTTGTTGTAGTGCCTAGATAGATCCATCTCTCACTTGTTGTAGTGCCTAGATAGGTTGCTCTCTCACTTGTTGTAGTGCCTAGATAGATCCCTCTCTCACTTGTTGTAGTGCCTAGATAGGTTGCTCTCTCACTTGTTGTAGTGCCTAGATAGGTCCCTCTCTCACTTGTTGTAGTGCCTAGATAGATCCCTCTCTCACTTGTTGTAGTGCCTAGATAGATCCCTCTCTCACTTGTTGTAGTGCCTAGAATGGTCCCTCTCTCACTTGTTGTAGTGCCTAGATAGATCCCTCTCTCACTTGTTGTAGTGCCTAGATAGATCCCTCTCTCACTTGTTGTAGTGCCTAGATAGGTCGCTCTCTCACTTGATGTAGTGCCTAGATAGGGCCCTCTCTCACTTGTTGTAGTGCGTAGATAGGTCCCTCTCTGACTTGTTGTAGTGCCTAGATAGGTCCCTCTCTGACTTGTTGTAGTGCCTAGATGGATCCCTCTCTCACTTGTTGTAGTGCCTAGATAGGTCCCTCTCTCACTTGTTGTAGTGCCTAGATAGATCCCTCTCTCACTTGTTGTAGTGCCTAGATAGATCCCTCTCTCACTTGTTGTAGTGCCTAGAATGGTCCCTCTCTCACTTGTTGTAGTGCCTAGATAGATCCCTCTCTCACTTGTTGTAGTGCCTAGAATGGTCCCTCTCTTACTTGTTGTAGTGCCTAGAAAGATCCCTCTCTCACTTGTTGTAGTGCCTAGATAGATCCCTCTCTCACATGTTGTAGTGCCTAGAATGGTCCCTCTCTTACTTGTTGTAGTGCCTAGATAGATCCCTCTCTCACTTGTTGTAGTGCCTAGAATGGTCCCTCTCTCACTTGTTGTAGTGCCTAGATAGGTCCCCCCACTGACTTGTTGTAGTGCCTAGAATGGTCCCTCTCTCACTTGTTGTAGTGCCTAGATAGATCCCTCTCTCACTTGTTGTAGTGCCTAGATAGGTCCCTCTCTCACTTGTTGAAGTGCCTAGATAGATCCCTCTCTCACTTGTTGTAGTGCCTAGAATGGTCCCTTTCTCACTTGTTGTAGTGCCTAGATAGGTCCCTCTCTCACTTGTTGTAGTGCCTAGATAGATCCCTCTCTCACTTGTTGTAGTGCCTAGAATGGTCCCTCTCTCACTTGTTGTAGTGCCTAGATAGATCCCTCTCTCACTTGTTGTAGTGCCTAGATAGATCCCTCTCTCACTTGTTGTAGTGCCTAGATAGGTCCCTCTCTCACTTGTTGTAGTGCCTAGATAGGTCGCTCTCTCACTTGTTGTAGTGCCTAGATAGATCCCTCTCTCATTTGTTGTAGTGCCTAGATAGATCCATCTCTCACTTGTTGTAGTGCCTAGATAGGTCGCTCTCTGACTTGTTGTAGTGCCTAGATAGATCCATCTCTCACTTGTTGTAGTGCCTAGATAGGTCCCTCTCTGACTTGTTGTAGTGCCTAGATAGATCCCTCTCTCATTTGTTGTAGTGCCTAGAATGGTCCCTCTCTCACTTGTTGTAGTGCCTAGATAGGTCCCTCTCTCACTTGGTTGTAGTGCCTAGATAGATCCCTCTCTCACTTGTTGTAGTGCCTAGATAGGTTGCTCTCTCACTTGTTGTAGTGCCTAGATAGGTCCCTCTCTGACTTGTAGTGCCTAGATAGGTCCCTGTCTCACTTGGTGTAGTGCCTAGATAGATCCCTCTGACTTGTTGTAGTGCCTAGATAGGTCCCTCTCTCACTTGTTGTAGTGCCTAGATGGATCCCTCTCTCACTTGCTGTAGTGCCTAGAATGGTCCCTCTCTCACTTGTTGTAGTGCCTAGAATGGTCCCTCTCTCACTTGTTGTAGTGCCTAGATAGATCCCTCTCTCACTTGTTGTAGTGCCTAGAAAGATCCCTCTCTCACTTGTTGTAGTGCCTAGATAGGTCCCTCTCTCATTTGTTGTAGTGCCTAGAATGGTCCCTCTCTCACTTGTTGTAGTGCCTATATAGGTCGCTCTCTCACTTGTTGTAGTGCCTAGATAGATCCCTCTCTCATTTGTTGTAGTGCCTAGAATGGTCCCTTTCTGACTTGTTGTAGTGCCTATATAGGTCGCTCTCTCACTTGTTGTAGTGCCTAGATAGATCCCTCTCTCATTTGTTGTAGTGCCTAGAATGGTCCCTCTCTCACTTGTTGTAGTGCCTAGATAGGTCCCTCTCTCACTTGGTTGTAGTGCCTAGATAGATCCCTCTCTCACTTGTTGTAGTGCCTAGATAGGTTGCTCTCTCACTTGTTGTAGTGCCTAGATAGGTCCCTCTCTGACTTGTAGTGCCTAGATAGGTCCCTGTCTCACTTGGTGTAGTGCCTAGATAGATCCCTCTGACTTGTTGTAGTGCCTAGATAGGTCCCTCTCTCACTTGTTGTAGTGCCTAGATAGATCCCTCTCTCACTTGTTGTAGTGCCTAGATAGATCCCTCTCTCACTTGTTGTAGTGCCTAGATAGATCCCTCTCTCAATTGTTGTAGTGCCTAGATAGGTGGCTCTCTCACTTGTTGTAGTGCCTAGATAGATCCCTCTCTCACTTGTTGTAGTGCCTAGATAGGTCCCTCTCTCACTTGTTGTAGTGCCTAGATAGGTCGCTCTCTCACTTGTTGTAGTGCCTAGATAGGTCGCTCTCTCACTTGTTGTAGTGCCTAGATAGGTCCCTCTCTGACTTGTTGTAGTGCCTAGATAGATCCCTCTCTGAATTGTTGTAGTGCCTAGATAGATCCCTCTCTCACTTGTTGTAGTGCCTAGATAGGTCCCTCTCTCACTTGTTGTAGTGCCTTGATAGATCCCTCTCTCACTTGTTGTAGTGCCTAGAATGGTCCCTCTCTCACTTGTTGTAGTTCCTAGATAGATCCCTCTCTCACTTGTTGTAGTGCCTAGATAGGTCCCTCTCTCACTTGTTGTAGCGCCTAGATAGATCCCTCTCTCAATTGTTGTAGTGCCTAGATAGGTGGCTCTCTCACTTGTTGTAGTGCCTAGATAGGTCCCTCTCTCACTTGTTGTAGTGCCTAGATAGGTCCCTCTCTCACTTGTTGTAGTGCCTAGATAGGTCCATCTCTCACTTGTTGTAGTGCCTAGATAGATCCCTCTCTAACTTCTTGTTGTGCCTAGATAGGTCCCTCTCTCACTTCTTTTTGTGCCTAGATTGGTCCCTCTCTCACTTGTAGTGCCTAGATAGGTCCCCTTCAACATGTGGCCCGTAATGCTGTAGTAATGTTTGTGTTGTACATGCTCGCTGTTCGTTGACATCCCTATCTGGTAAATGCATGTTTGTGTTTTCTGTTTGCAAATATTCATGTCATTTTATCTATGTTCTTCAATCTTTTTTACAGATATAATATTTTACCCAATTGATTTTGAGTGTGAGTTTTAGAATAGTTTCCATGACTTTCCCTAAGTGAAGGTCAAGAGTACAAGTATTCTTC